ATTCAAGTAGAAGTTAACATGGAATTAGATTTTGCACATTTTTTTTTTTTTTTTTTAAGCCATGTATTCTACAGAAGCCAAGCTGTGACCCACACAGAACTAATGTCTCCTGTGCAGCTACAGCCTGGTTTGCTGAGCAAACTGTTCAAGTGCTACCCCAGTGGGAACTGACCAAGCCTAAGTACCTAGTGACTTCTCAGATATGCACAGTAGGTCAAACTGGTTTCTCTTCTGCAATTTAACAGTAAGGCTTTTTTCTTYTTGTTTTTCTGCAGCGCTGCAAAATGCCTTTCTGTTATTTGATTAGTGTAATAACAGGCATCCGGGTCTAGAATTGGCAAATGAAATTTCTGAAGACTCTGGATAGCAAGAAATAATTTTGCCCCAAATATTTGCTCATTGTGGGTTATTTGCCTCACTGCTGTGGCACAGTCTAGTTACTGGCTACAGCTCTGTGTTTTATTTTGGTACTTGCCAGTTGCTGTCCTGGTAATTTTCAGGCGACTTAATCCATTCTATATATGCTTTTTGAAAGCTAAAAGTAAAATGTTAACTAGTCCTTCCAGCTACAAATCGCAAATCTTTCAGAGCATAAACTTGGCTGCTTGCCCTGCTGAGGAAGAGTAGCTGCCACGAGAGCTGGAAAGAAGAGCAGACTGCCTCCCTTCAGCTGAAGTGCTGTGGACCCAAAGACGAGGTGATCATTCAGGTAGCAAAATGCYCTCATTAACCTGGGATTAATTTAATGAGAACCAATATCCAGCTGCTTTCACAAGAATACCAGGGCCTTTTTCTCCTCCAGACTGTCTTCAGTCTCATTCTTAGGTGCTCTACCTGTTCACCAGAACATTTCAACATTTCCCTTCCTTTATATTTCTGCTTCCCCGCTGGCGGAGYTGACTCAGACTTACTGCCAGTAAGCACAGGAGACTCTTGAAAGCAGGAGAGGTGACGGAGTTCAAGCTTATCACGGTTAAGCACACACACATTTTCCAGGCCCAGCTGTGGCATCACGCACAGCCTCCTCCGTGTCCTATGTCCGCTGTCCCTCGTCTCTCCAGGCACATCGCACCCAGCCTTGGAGCCATATTCCAGGAGGGCTTAAAAGCCACCCTTGATCCAGGGGCTTTTCAGGATTCTTGGAAGTCAGAGAATGTCCATCTGAAAGCAAACTGTCTGAGYGTCCCCAGGACTCAAAGTTCAAACAATTTCTGGCATGGGAATGTTGAGAAAAATGAAGGAAACTTAGYGTTTTTATTTCATATGCAAAGGCAAGTCATCCCTTTTTTGCAGTCATATGATATTGCTTACTTTTCCGTTAATGCAGTGTTTTAGTATGATGTTTCAGTAGATAGTGAGTCTGTTGTCCTGTATTTAAATCGACCTTCTATTTACGGTACAGCAGAAGGACAAAAATAAAACCGTGGTCTCCGAGCGCATCAGTGGAATTTTCCTGCCTTTCTCCCCCGATGACTCGGCTGACTCCTAGAGAGCCTCAGCTCCTGCTGCTTTGTGCTTGCAAGAAAGAGGTGGTTTCCCTCCTGCCTTCCTGTATTTCCCCCGTATTTAAATCTCACCGGGTTTGGTTTTTTGTTTACTAGACAAATAGTAGCCACCACACTGGATATCGGGGTATGGTTCCTTGGCTTAGGTTAAGGTTGCTGCGTGCCTTACGGGGAGGTGGGCTTGGAAAAAAAAACCAACATCTCACGACAGATGATATAAATACATATATTCCGGGGGAAACATTCTAGATTCACAGATTGCAGTTCCACTTTTGGTGGTTTCTTTTGCAGCTATTAGTTTCTTTCTCTTTCTTTAATGAGGGAGTAGTATGTTTTATGCTGGCCCTCTTTTCCTTCTCTCTCTTTTTTCTTTTTGGCAGAGCAAGGCAATTGCAGCTTGTTATGTTGAAGAATGCTGGTTGTTTTTTATTTTTTTTTTTTAAATTGCATTGTCCTCAATTACTGCAGTTTTGTATCCTCAGATAAAATACCTATTCTGTGAGGAGTCATAAAGATAGGCTGCAACAGCTCATCCTCCCAGCCCCCACTTCTCCTTCAGTTATCAACAGTGCGTCAGTGGAAATTTCCACCGTTTGCTAATGTGAGAGAAAGCACAAAGTTGCAAAGCAGCCTTTTGAGAAAAAAAAAAAAAAAAAGACTATTGCTGTTTTAGGAACACAATGAAAAGCAGCATACAACTTGCGAGCAGAAATGAAATGAAATCCTAGAGAAGTGGGACTAAAATGATACGGAAAGGCCACAGTTTGCAATACCAAATGAGTGGCCTAGCAGGCAGATCCCCAGGGGAAGGGGGCATGTTAGTGTTGTTGTATTATCCATTACAATTTCTCTCCCTCCTCTCTCTTCCCCCTTCTCCCCCCTCTCCCTGTTTTATTAGTTGCAACTCTAAGAGGATTTGGAAGGGTTCTTCCAAAAGAGAAGATTTAAGCAGCATCTGTTAAATTTACCAATGGCTTTTAATGGCTTTAACAGAAAACCCGTCTTTTCCTTTTCACAGGGTGTGCAACCTTGAGAAGTTACTGCGCAGCATTTCTAATACATCCTCCAAGCTTAAAAATTGTTTTTCCCCTGCAGCTTGTGCCTGGGTGACTTCTCTTATTTTCGGAGGCCGGAGAACAGCAGGCGGCTCCGCTTCTCAAACACATTAAGCCCAGTGCCTGTTCCCTTTGAAGCCCTCGAGGATTTGCACGGAGGACTAAGCAGGCCATGGTACCTCCAAGCCTTTCCTACGGCGAATTATTCCCTATAACTCTCAATAAGCCTGGTGCAGTTGGAGGAGCAGCTGCACCGTAGCTGAGGTGACCTGGCAGCGATCCCTTGGCGTGGGTGACGCTCGGCCGCAGGCTGCACCCGCCGGGCATCCGCACGTGTGGGACCGGTGGCTTCCGCACGGGTTCCACGTGTGAGATTTCAGAGCCTCAATCTGGCCCTTCTGAAAAGGGCTCCAGGGCTGAACTGTGACTGTTAACRTAGGTGCCCGCACAGGAATTTCAGACGCGGCGTGTCTGGCTCTGGAAAAGCTCCTCCACAGGGTTTTCCATGTGTCGGTCCCACCCCTGTGGAGCCATCCAGCATCTGCTGCTTGAGTCATTTCTGACCTCACRGCTCTCCTCTCTGTGTAATACTTCTGATATTATCTAGTATAGCTCACTTGGATGAGAATTAACTTTGCCCMTGGGGAGCAGCATGAAAAACATGCATTTTTGTTGTCGATGACCCCGTCTCTTGTATATCCTCTTCTCACTCCTATTCAGTTTCTGGTCTTGGGGACTTACCATCCAAGATTATCATTGTGGACTGGACTGTAGGGGATTATGTTCATGGTATATTTGGCTTAATAAGAACCTGGACCTCTTGCAGAACAAAACCCTGGGCTTAGGGAGAAATTTTAAATCAAACTGGGATGCTTGATCCTGTTTGGTACAAGTGATTTGGGAGTGTTCTTGGTTGGTTGGTCGAGTTCATTTGCAAGTGTAATGTGACTTCATTTAAGGGATGCCAATTTCATGTTATCTTGACCCTTCAGTTAAATAGGGAAGGTGTGCTGGCACGGACGAGGAGGAAAGGGGAACCTTAGTAAGAGGATTCATAAAGATCAGAGAGAATGGCTAAACGGGAAGCTTTGAAGTATTGCTGGTCTTGGAACGAGGCGAGCGGTTAGTTTGCTTTCATGGGATTTCTGGGAAGCTGTTACAGTGTCTTTGTACTATACTGGAGTTAGCGCCATGACAAACGCACACTGACTGAAGAAAAAGTTTTCTTGATTGCATTTGGATTGAAAATGCCAGTTGATCCACAGAATTTCAGGGGAAGGACAGACAACATCAGGGCTTACTTATTTTCTACATAAATAGAACATCTGCCAGTAGGCCATCCAGAACTTGCAGGAATGGTAGACATTACGTTGCAAATGGATTGAAAGTGTAGCTCCTGTTAAGATATGGGATCTGAATTCACACATCTGAGAGKGAGCCAGTGTGTGGTCATGGTTCCCAGTCTGAAACGGGGCGGTTTCATTGCTCATGACCTCCTGCAAGCCTTATCACTTGCTCACGTGTGCTGGAGACTAGAAAGCCTCTTGCAAAATTAAAAGTCGAGCTCATGAACAAAGTGCACTTGTTCAACAGAGGAATTTATTGCAGAAGTAACTGCAGTGAGTGACCTCATATTCACGTGGAACAAAGCTCCATTTGTGGTATGTGAGCTTTTCTCTTTGTAGCCATCAGAGATAAGTAGGTCGTGGCCACWGCTTACCTGGAGCAGCGCGCTTTGCACATGCCCTGCATGTGTGGAAGCAAGAGCTTTACTCTGCTGCCAAGGTCAGCAAGACTGCAAGCTCCTCAAATGCCAAGCGCGCAAGCTGGCAGCTCCTGCYTGCAGCTTGAAAATGTAAGCTGTGTTCACATGGTGATGTGCCTCGTTTGGCCTCAGTCCATCTCCTTGTTGCTTCTGCAGGGCGTGTGCACGTGGGTTAATATCCATTCAGCTCTGGAGCAGGATTTCTAAGGAAGAAACGTGCCCCCGTATCTATGAACCTGAGATGTTTCACACTGACACCCTCATGACACTACATGATCTGCCTCCGCCCTCCAAATATCATATGGGAAAGTTCCCCTCACAAAAGATGCAGTAAATTACAATCATTTCGTTGTTACTGAAATGATTGTGCCACGTCATTACTTTTTCAAACTGCTCAAGTGGAGGTGTGTAAATCAATGGAGTGGRTAAGAGGAGCAAGCTGCCCTTGAGGTCTTCATGTCAGCAGCGCCGCACACAGAGAAGATGAGGCTGAGCCCTCTTCAGCTGAACTGCTCATATCTGAAATCAGAATAATACTGAGCCTTTCTTCAAAAACAGTTTGGATCCTAACATTTAGGAAATAATCAGAAAATTTACGAAATCCCACAGAAGAGTGATTTAATTTAAAGTTTTGGGAGTGCAGGTGTCTTACTGTGTGTATGTTTCTCATTGCAGGTATTTTTTGGTAGACTTTGAGGGCCCACCTTCGATTGTATCGGCCATGATGGATCATTTAGGACGTGATATTGATGTAATTAGACGTACTTTTTTAAAGCATCCGGTATCAAAGACAGAAGAATGCAGTGGCATAATCCCAGTCAACTATGAAGATAAACTAATTGCCAAGAAGAAATGAATATTCCAAATAACATGTTCAAAACATTTTAAAAAAAACAGCTTTACTTTGGGATACAATTGTGATGACTAATGTTCATGAAAAATAATCAGTTTTATCATGTGATGTGTGTGGTATAGTGTGTTATCTTAAGTTATTGTAACACTTGGGCTTTCTTTTTTTTTGTTTAAAATAATTTGAATAGACTTGATCTGCATGCTTATCTTGATATATAATGCCTCTAGAAATTGATTTTCTTTTTTCTTCCTTAAAGCATTACATCAATAATGAAGATTTATCCATTATCAGAAGGCTAAAAATAGTCTTCTTTCCTAAAGAAAGCTTCTTCAGAATATGTATATTTTACATAAGAGATTAAAAACTCTGCTGTGTACATATAGCAGTTTAATACATGATTTGTGTAAGGGGTTTTTGTCTTTTTGAAAAAGATAATAAAAGTGTGTTTAAAAATAAAACTTGACTCATAAAAAACCAAAATACACAGAAAAAAAAAAAAAAAAAAAAAAAAAAAGTCAGACTTCTTTCTTTAAGGTAATCACTGTATAAAAAAGCCCAGAAATTTCCACATGACAGGTTAGAGAATAACCATGCTTCTGTATGAACAGAAGCTTAAAAGATAACTTAGTTTTACCATGAGTTAGACCCAGGTGGACTCTTCTAGCTGAGAAAAATGTCAGGAAAAAAAAGGGGGCTTAGAGATATTTTGTCTGTCTTTTGTTCTTCTAGCAGCAGAAGAAACAGAAAAGTGCATGAATGAGATGGTGGTGGCCAGTGACAGGACATGGGGTAATGGGTGTAAGTTGCAACACAGGCAGTTCCATCTCCAGGTGAGGAGGAACTTCTTCYCTGTGAGGCTGACAGAGCAGTGGAACAGGCTGCYCAGGGAGGCTGTGGAGTCTCCTTCTCTGGAGATCTTCCAAACCCGCATGGATGTCACCCTATGCCCCGTGCTCTGGGTGTCCCTGCTGGAGCAGGGGGTTGCACTGGMTGATCCCTAGAGGTCCCTTCCAACCTCAGCCATTCTGTGAGTCTCTGATTCTGTGAGGTCATTAGGGTTGCACGACGCCCTGCAGGTCTGACATACCTTCAGCGGTGCAGAGAGGGTATTTCTGGGGTATTTCCCCCCGGTTTCTGAAGTAATGCACCCACCATCTCTCCCAGCACAGGGCAGCATGCGCGGCACCTAGGGAATTTTTGTAGGGAAATAGGATGTGATACGTCATTACACAAAGAGGATGTTTGATTCCTGACTGAACTTGGTTGGGAAGTCTCCTCTGGCACTGTGGGTTACSAACGGGCAGGCAAGCCCAGGAACCATCATCAGGGCTTTGACGGGCCTCGTTGACGTGGCTGCTGCTTGGCACGCGGCTTGGTGATGGGGTTGTCTGCCCGCTGTCTTGGAGGGAGGTGGGTCTTTTTCTCAGCAGCACTTCCCTTTATTCTTAGATACTGAAATCTGGTGGGGCAAAGCAGAGCTGGCTTTTCATGGGTTTCTACTTTTCCTAAAGGAAATGGTGAATTGGATAGAAAAGTGAAAGAAAAAAAATTCCTTCTCTGTGTCTTTGTTCAGGAGACATGTCCATATGTGAATGTGTTTGCTTTAACTTTTTCAGTTTTTAAATCTGCTTTTCTTTCTAGATAGGACTGTTGTAGCCTCGAAAAGCATGTGGAAGACTAGAGATGATGTGCTGTTTACTGAAAGGTAAAGAAGGTCCTTTCTGCAGTTAATTCTGTTCCTTTGCTTGGTATGTGCACTGCCGCCTGCACCAGACAGAACTTTTCTTCCCAGGGTTTTTGCTTGCAGGACAGATCTGCAAGGACAGACCCCTTCCATAGGGGTGTGAGTTCAGACAGGAGGGAGCTGAAAGGCTGTGTCATGGTTTGGATACCTGACCTGCCCTTTGATGGGTAGCTGAAAGCTCAGATTTATAGCGCAGAAGGCATGAGCTTGCAAACAGGGAAGCATGGTAATGTAGTAATGTGCTGTTACTCAAAAGTTTCTCAGAAGCTTTTCTTAAATAGAATGTAAACAAAAAGCCTGTAGTTTAAAACCTCACCAAAAATCCCATCCTCTTGCAGGGTTTAGGCTCTTGTGATACCCTGCTTCCATATTTTTTGTCACCCACACAACAAAGTCACACCACAAAGACAACCATTGATGTTCCATATGTAAAATGAGCAGATTCTCCTTTGTTATGAACAAACGTGCAAGTGATTCAAAGCTTKCTTTCTTTCTTTCTTTCTTTCTTTYTTTCTTTCTTTCTTTCTTTCTTTGCCCGAAAGTGATACAGGCAGTACCGCTTTTCTAGTATTTTATTCTGTAAAAAAATCACTTGTCACATGCAGCTTAAAACATTTTGCTTCTGGGTAGGATTTTGGGTCCTGCCTTTCATTTAAATAGAGAATATATAAGCTTTGAACTTCAGAAAATGAAAATTATGTCAGCATGGGCTATAAACAAATAAATATATGTTTATTCAATACCTTTTTTTCTATAATTTAGAGTAGAAATGAATCTTGCATTTAGTATGTTTTAATTTCTAGCTTGAGGCCCACGTTCAAAAAGAGAACCCTATGTGTCCAGTAGAGATGGTGCTTAATGCTTAGTTTAATGCTAAATATATGACATTGCTTGTTGCCAGTTAGAATCTTAGGTCCATCAGACTTTCATGTCTCTTCTGTGGGGCTCCCTTTTTGATCTTGTGACAAGATCATGGATTTCAAGAGCAAGAAGACTTGCAGTGCTGAGTCCAGTAAAGAGGGGATCTGCAGTAGTGATTCTCTTGCCATCTTTTGTGCTGCAGGAACTTAGCAGTGCCAGCCCGAGAGACAGCTAGGCTCAACAGGCTGCAAAACAAAGTCATGAGGAGATGGTGCCAGTCCTGCTTGCATGCATTCTGGAGCACTGAACATATAAAGGGGGACGACTGAAAATTTTCTTTGCCTTTGGGACAGAAATACTGACCACTGAAACCAATGGCCACAAGCAAAGAAACATTTGGAGGACTCATGCATGGTTATGTAAGCGCTCATACTTTCTCAGCAGCAGGATTTATTTATAAAAGGTCCACTGAATGGCTGGCTCACAACTGTATGTCCTGTTTTCTTCGTAATTGATAGTTTCTAATATGAACATAATTTTTTTTAATGGGGAGTAGGGGCGGAGGGATAAGAGAGGAGTCTTGGGTTACAATTTGTTCAGCCCAGTCAGCCACGCAGCCTAGTAGTTAGCTATTTCAGGAAACTAATATATAACAGGATGCACATTCCCTTTCAATAACTTCAAACTTTGGAATGGGCATTGGATTTTATCAGAAGATTTGAGCGATTCTGGTTTTGAGCAAACAGTCTGGATTGTGCCATGGAAGAAGTTAGCTAGTAACTGTGTGCTGAATGGTTCCTACAGAGGAAGGAAAATTTCTGCTTTCAGGTGTGTCTGGGGTCCAGTTTGCCTTTTTGATAGCTGACAGCTGATTCATGAAATAGCTAAAATGCCAAACACCAYTGGCATTCCTAAAATCCTAAATAATCCTAAATAATTGGARTGCCTATACTTAAAGATACATTTAGAAGCTGATACTGAAGTGTTTCTACCCTTCCTTAGATTATATTCCCAAACATGCAAGAGAAATATTTTCTATTTTATGCTGCTATGTACCCCCCATTTGTTTTCTTTGCTTGAGGSTTGTGGAGACACTCTGAAGAGCGTAAGTATTAACCTAATAGTTGGCAGTTCCCCTTGCTCAGGACTATTTTCTGTTCTCTGCCTTAACTTCAGGAAACACATTGCACAAGTGGCTTTATGGTGAACATCTTAGGTGYGTCTTCAGTTACTCCTTTTCTGTCACACTCGACCGAATCTTGCACTCTGGAGGTTTCTTCCCTAGGCCAAGGGCACTGCGATGTCGAAGCACTTAGTGCTCTGCAAGCACATGGTGCAGCCACCGCTATGACCCCGTGAAACTCCTGCCTGCAGTGATAAGGTCCCACAGAGCCTGGTTCTGAGCGCCTTGGGCACGTAAATAATCTGCCAAAATCCCAGTTGTTGACAGTGTGAACTTGATCATCTTCATGATGCTCAGTGTCAGCAGAATATTTCTATGCCTGTAAATGTTTTAATGGGACTGTCTGAAAACCATCTTTGAACTTCTTCTTAGGAACCAAGTGCTTAGCAGCAACACAGTTGCAGACCCTTTACATGACTCTCAAAATCTTCCAAAGAATTACTAGAATGGCAATAGTTGTAAAGATTCGTGGTCTTTCACTGCTTAAACTAGGTTTTGATCACCGAGACCCATCACCTGCCACTTGACGAGATCTGCTTTTGTTTAGTAATTTGCTACCCTGTGGCGAAGGGCACTTCAAAACATGACGCAATCCTGCTAGAGTGCTGGGTCACAGAAATTTTCCCAAGACTTCATGTTCTTCCACATTTTCTTCTCAGAGCAGCTCTTAGGCTTTGTTCAACACTGCTAGTATCTCCAGCATAAACATTCAGGAATGATGAGGCAACCTGCCCCTCCAGGTGTTTTGAACTCATGGAGTATAATTGTTGGCTTAAAAATTACGAGTACTCTTAAAAATATAAGATTCTTTTTATTGGCCTTTTAGATTTTTGAGCTGTTATGATTCATCTTTTTTTCAAACTTTGTTACTGTCATGATTTTGACATAGCATCTGACTGAAGAGCTTTCAGAAAAAAATACAGCTATAGCAAATGATATTCTTGAGAGATTCATTAGGCCTGGTCCTGTATCCCTACGCCCACTGAAAGAGAATATGGAAAGTTAAAAAGAGAATCATTATTATCTCCTTTCCCAGAATTCTGAGGCTCAGATACCCGAACAGCGAGAGTTGATGYGAAGCCAAAACATGAATTTTCCCAACTGCTGCATGAAGGGAAGATCGAAAATGTGTTACTCTTTGTGATCTATGTAAAGTGTAGGTTACTTAGCCCTGCTTCAACAGACCTTTTAAAAACACGCAGGCTGCAGCTGGTGGACTACCCTAGGCTAATGCTGCTCCTCTTTGAAAAGCTATTTGTGCAACACTGCGGAGGAGTGGGAGAGTCACCACTTACTGTATGCTGGTTTAGAGGGGGAGTGATGCACTGACAGATTCCAGTTTTGGACTACTCAAGGTTGCCTTCTAAAAGCATTTTTTAAGGAGGAGTAATATTCACTGTAAACCTAGGAGAGGTTTCACTCCTGTTATTTTTGAACTGTGCTGCGGCTGCCAAGTGAACCTTGTTTGGAGAGTGGTAAACTTCCACGTAGAAAATCTGGCTTATTAAAGTCTTTGACACGTTTATGTTGGACATAGCTTAAGGGGCGGGGGGGAAGTTTTCTCTGCTGAATCAGTAAGAGGCCTCTCGCTGACTTC